GTTTTTTCACTTCAGCAGGTGGGTATTGTAGTTTTAAGAATGCTTGATAGAGATCTTGTAGGTGCTTGTCTCTATCCGAGGGATTGAGCCTATATGAAGAAATTGCTTCTAGTAAAGGTCAACTTCCCCTATAGTTCCAGCTATCTGCCAACCAGCCAATCATATATCATCTTTGGGTGTCCCGTAATAAACCCCTATGACCCCGGAAAAAAACAGTATGTACCCTGACGAGAACAACACTCCAACTGGTGCCAAACACCACCCATGTCGGAAACCACCAAGAACCCCCCCACCCAATAGGCACCCAATTCTCGTAAATAATGACGGAGCTACCGGGAAAAAAGGGCAGACCCCTACTCTTATTTTCGCATAAATGACGTATTATTTGTACTATGCTTGTGGTTGGACGGAATAAAGGCAGCCTACGTGCTGTGCTAGGTGTGACAGTTTTCGGACTGTCGCCCCAACGCGTTGGTATGTATTGCAATAAACGAGCCTCAGGCTTGAGTCTGTGAACTAAAATCAATGCGTGGGTGACTTTTTCCACGACAATACACTTTCTCAAACTCGCTGCGACTGCCCGTACTTTCAAATACCTTGATAGAGTTAATCTCTCTTGGCTCAGGTCTAGCTACCTTCCTAGTATCAGAGGGGTAGCCGTGTTAGTCTGGATCTGTAAAAAGCGACAAAGAATTCTGTGGCACCTTATAAACTAACAGACTTATTGGAGCATGAGCTTTCGTGGGTGAATACCCACTTCATCAGATGCCTTCCTAGGTTGCTCTTCACCCCCCCACCACACACACCTCTTTTTCCCCGCCTCTGACTTCAACTCTTTCTCTGTGTTAAAAATTATAGTTTTTACAGAAACCTCCAAAAGATAAAGCAATTGAAAACAGAACAAAACAAGACACAAAAAGAAAACAAGGTCAAAACTTCACTTTAAATAAATCCAGTAAATGAATTATTTTAACCCTGAGTGGACGTCTTTGTCTGGCCTAGGGGGAGGTGGCAAATCCAGCCACTGACAAAGCCGGTCCATTGTCAGGGGGCACATATTCGTAGTATGTCCTGTAGAATCCGTGGGGAACTATTCCTGTGTTTCGTTTGACAGTAAACCTGGCCGGGCACCTTCGTTCCTTATCAAAGTCTGTGGTCATTGGGCGGTTCACTCGAGATCTGCTGTGCCAGAGATCTGCGCAGAGCCGGGGCAGCACACAGAGGGAACATACGCATGCCGCTGACTGATATCAACATCAACCAGAGCAGAGCA